AGAGCGAGGACTGCTTTTGGGGAACTGGTCCGTGAGTCTATCTAGTCCTCTTTTAAAGCTCTCTGTGGCTGACCTGGATGGCCCGGGCTGGCCTGATCTGGTCAGATCTCGGAAGCTAAGCAGGGTCGGCCCCGGTTAGTACTTGGATGGGAGACCAGCAAGGAAGTCCAGGGTTGCTACGCAGAGGCAGGCAATGACAAACTACCTCTGTTCCTCTCTGCCCTCTTAGCTGGATGGCCCAGGCTACTCTGATCTCATCAGATCTCGGAAACTAAGCAGGGTCAGTATTTGGATGGGAGACCGCCCAGGAACTCCTGGGTGGCTATGCAGAGGCAAGCAATGGCAAAGCACCTCTGTTCCTCTCTGCCCTCTTAGCTGGATGGCCCAGGCTACTCTGATCTCATCAGATCTCGGAAACTAAGCAGGGTCAGTATTTGGATGGGAGACCGCCCAGGAAGCCCAGGGTGGCTACGCAGAGGCAGGCAAGGGCAAACCCACCTCTGAACGTCCCTCACCTTGGAAACTGCGGGGTCGTCATAAGTCCGCTGCGATTTGGTAGCTGCGGTGGCTCAAGTGGTTAAGACGCTGAACTGCAGGCTGTGGAAGGTCGGTCGTTCAGCAGTTCGAGACCCGAGTGTGCCGCATGACGGAGTGAGCTCCCGTCTCCAGTTCCAGCTCCTGCCAACCTAGCAGTTCGAAAGCAAGAAATTGCAAGTAGATAAATAGGTACCACTTCGGTGGGAAGGGAACAGCGTTCCGTGCGCCTTGGTGTTTAGTCATGCTGGCCACATGACCACGGAAACGTCTTCGGACAGCGCTGGCTCTTCGGCTTGGAAACGGGGATGAGCACCGCAACCCTAGAGTCGGATTCGACTGGCTTTCGAGCAAGGGAACCTTTACCTTTACCACCATCAGAGTGATATTGTCTTCCAGAAGATAAGGTACAGGGTCATTATTCTGGGGTTCATTTTCCTTAAGGCTTCAGCACCTGGTTGGGGGTTGGGGGGTTCTTTCGATGTGGAGAGTTTAGGGAGGATATTGCCGTGGGACTCCGGCCAGCTGGTGGAGCTGTAAGCATGCGGAAGGGAAGCCTGGTTTCTCTGTGGCCATTCCAACTGATTACACAAGACTTCCGATATTTGTAATGCTGCCGCTTTCTGGCTGGGTTTCTGTGCCTTTCACAACCACGTGACAGACCCCCCCCCCCAAAAAAAAATGCGGTTCATGTGGCTCCCCTCACTTTTGGATCTTCTTGTCAGGAGCTCTTTACCTGTCAAACTTCTAGCTTTACTGTACTCTGGTTAATCCACTCAATCAACGAAGATGTTTTTTACTCATCTCTGCCATTTAGAGGTACCGGGGGAGACGTGAGCGTCCACAGCAGATATTATTCTGGCCGCCGTTCACAGCCCTGCAAGGTGGGCCAGCATTGGTATCCTGACCTTTCCGATGGTTTAACGAGGGGTCTGCCTAATGATGCTGGCCCTTCTGCCCTTTAGGGTGTCTGCTAGGTTTGCCAAGTTTGGTGTCGTGGTGAAGTGCACAGACTCTAATCTGGGAGAACCGGGTTTGATTCCCCACTCCTCCACTTGCAGCTGCTAGATGACCCTGGGCAAGCCGTAGCTCTGATAAGAGCTGTCCTTGAAAAAGAGCAGTTTCTGTCACGAGCTCTCTCAGTCCCGCCTACCTCACAGGGTGTCTGTTGTGGGGAGGGGAAGGGCAGGGTATAAATCCGATCTCTTCTTCTTCTTAAGCATACAAATCTAGGTTGGCAGGAGCTGGAACTAGAGACGGGAGCTCACTCCGTCTTGCGGCACCCGGGTCTCGAACTGCTGAACTACCGACCTTCCACAGCCTGCAGTTCAGCGTCTTAACCACTTGAGCCACCGCAGCTCCTAAACTAAATAATACAGTACTGCAAAAATCAGAAAATATATGCTGTTTAAATTTGACTGTAACTCGCCCGAAATGAATTTTCTACTAGCCATTGTGCTTTGTTATTGACCTGTGAAGAAAAAATATGTGAGCATCAGGCGTCATTTCTGCTCTTATAGATGAGACAAAAAAACTGGAAATGATCTATAGGATCTTGTTCAAAAGAAGGAACGTCGAAACGACACAGGGCATTCCGGAGCACGTCGTTAACATCATTTGCTTCGTTACAAACCAACATCGTTTGCTTCGTTAAAGACCACATTCTGTTTACTTGAAACGGATGGTATTTTTGTATTCCAACCTTGTAAAAAAAGCATATCCCTTTAACCCATTTGAACAGCATCTATTTCCTGATTTTTGCAGTACTGTATTATTTAGTTTAGCGCACTTATCACAGTAATCATCCCCGTGTAGTGTAACCTCCAGGTGTCGGCTGGAGATCTCCTGGATAAATCTTCCGGAGGGGTTCCTCTTCAGGGTCAAACTTACTATCTTGGAGACATCATGTCTGAGCACGTCCCAGATACCCATTGTTTTGCTTGCTTCTTGAAGCTTAACATGCAGATAACTAGGAGCCTCTTTCCTGAGTGATGTTTGTCTTAGCTGGTTAATACTTCAGCTGTTTTTCTGTCTCCATTAACCTTACTTTGACCCCTTATAACTCAGAATCTCTGGCCAATTCTCTCTCCAGCTTCGGCGTGGCGGACGTCTCCTCTCCTTGCTACGCGCTTGCCCGCGGTATAGCAGCCGTTCGAGCCGCCCTGCCGCCGGCCTCCTCAAAGGACGGATCCTTCCGTATTTATACGACCGCTTCTACGACATGGAGGCCTTCATTGACTTTGGCACAAAGCTGACGGGCTGGAATTTGGAGAGGAAAAACACGTATGTGTGGCCCATTTGGGTTTGTCCGCCAAGTTTCTAGTCCCCTTGGAGGCCGATAGAGCTCTTTGTGACTCTCCGATGTGCAGTGAGCGTGAGGCCCCGGGTTCAAGGCAGCTAACAGGGGCTGGGAAAGATCCGTGGCTGAAACCTCAAAGGGTAGCCGGCCGCCGTCGGGCTACCCACAGACCCATGGCTGGATTCAGAAAGAGCAACCAAAGAGGAACACACAGTGTAGGTATACAAGGGAATAGCGATCTGTGTGAAAAAGACGCTAACACTAGTTCAATAATGAGGTAAAGGTAAAGGTTCCCCTTGCTCGAAAGCCAGTCGAATCCGACTCTAGGGCTGCGGTGCTCATCTCCATTTCCAAGCTGAAGAGCCAGCGCTGTCCAAAGACATTTCCATGGTCATGTGGCCGGCATGACTAAACGCCAAGGCGCACGGAACGCTGTTCCCTTCCCACCGAAGCCGTACCTATTTATCTACTTGCAATTTCTTGCTTTCGAACTGCTAGGTTGGCAGGAGCTGGGGCCAGAGACGGGAGCTCACTCCATCATGCGGCACTCGGGTCTCGAACTGCTGAGCTACCAACCTTCCAGCCTGCAGTTCAGCATCTTAACCACTTAAGCCACCGCAGTCAGTTCAATAATGACCAAAGTATTAATAAAAATACAACCATAGGAGCACAATATTAAAGTAGAATGATAAATGAAGAATCCAGATATTAAGAACTCCGTTTCGAAGAACTTCCTCAGTAACTAAACCTGAAAGAGATTACATAATGACAATAATGACACATACAAAATAAGGTAAAATAATTACAGCAGTAACAAGGTATGTGTAAATACCTGATAAACAATATATCTTCAAATACTCCAGTTTATATTATGTTTATATTTATTGTACTTGACTTGCATGTTTGAATACAGGAGAATTGTTTGCTGTAACTCACAAGAATGTTATTGTCATTATGTAATCTCGAAACAGAGTTCATCGTTTATTCTTCTTCTTCATGCATCTTCACCTCAAGAGGAAACTTTTCTACTTTAATATTGTGCTTCTATGCTAGTAAAAAGTAAAGGTAAAGGTTTCCCTTGCTCGAAAGCCAGTCGAATCCGACTCTAGGGTTGCGGTGCTCATCTCCGTTTCAAAGCCGAAGAGCCAGCGCTGTCCGAAGACATTTCCGTGGTCATGTGGCCGGCATGACTAAACGCCAAGGCGCACGGAACGCTGTTCCCTTCCCACCGAAGCCGTACCTATTTATCTACTTGCAATTTCTTGCTTTCGAACTGCTAGGTTGGCAGGAGCTGGAACTAGAGACGGGAGCTCACTCCGTCATGCGGCACACTCGGGTCTCGAACTGCTGAACTACCGACCTTCCACAGCCTGCAGTTCAGCATCTTAACCACTTGAGCCACCACAGCTCCTTCTATGCTAGTATTTGTATTAATACTTTGGTCATTCTTGAACTAGTGTTATTGTCTTTTTCACACAGATTGCTATTCCTTTGGATTCAGTAAGAAGCAGCTTCGTGCCTTTCTGTGTTTCTCCTCTAGTTTGGTGTAGTGGTTAAGTTCACGGACTCTAATCTGGGAGAACCGGGTTTGATTCCCCACTCCTCCACTTGCACCTGCTGGATGACCTTGGGCAAGCCATAGTTCTCTCAAGAGCTGTTCTCTCAAAGACAGTTCCGGAAAGAGCTCTCTCAGCCCCACCTCCCTCACAGGGTGTCTGTTGTGGGGAGGAGAAGGGAAAGGAGTTTGTAAGCCGCTCTGAGACTCCAAGTGAAGGGCGGGATATAAATCCAATCTCTTCTTCTTCTTCTGAGTAGCAATTGACTGTCTCTCCCATCCACAGGCACTATCTCCGAATCCAGGAAAAGTATGGGGACGATTTGGCAGCCGCCGTCTTTGCCCTGATGCTCAAAGGAGGCGTTAGGTATGTGGGAGCGGATTGGACCTCGGAAGGGGCACCTGGGTTCCCTCTTGGATGTTCTTGGAGGGCCCTTCTGTACAAACCTCTCGTAGCCAAGGTGGGAACTTGGCACAAAGCGGGCGGAGGGTTTATGTTACCGGTTGTTCATCACCTCCACGACTGTGTTCTTAATTTCAGTTGACAGGACAGGGGCTGGAGAACTGGATGGGAAAGCCCTCATAAGAACGTAAGGAGAGACCTGTTGGGATCAGACCAGTGAGGGTCCATCTAGTCCAGCATCTTTGTCTCACACAGCAGCCAGCCAGTTCCTCTGGAGGGCCAACAACAGGGCATAAAGGCTGAGGCCTTCATAAGAACATCAGAAGAGCCCTGCTGGATCAGACCAGTGGTCCATGTAGTCCAGCATCCTCTCTCACACAGTGGCCGACCAGTTCCTCTGGAGGGCCAACAACAGGGCACAGCGGCTGAGGTCTTCAAAAGAACATCAGAAGAGCCCTGCTGGATCAGACCAGTGGTCCATGTAGTCCAGCACCCTGTCTCACACAGTGGCCGACCAGTTCCTCTGGAGCGCCAACAACAGGGCATGGGGGCTGAGGTCTTCAAAAGAACATCAGAATTGTCCTGCTGGATCAGTCTAGTGAGGGCCCATCTAGTCCAGCATCCTGTCTCGCACAGGGGCTCATCAGTTCCTCTGGAGGGCCACGAACAGGGCAGAGAGGCCGAGGCCATCCCCCCGACAATTGCCTTCTGACTCTGGGATTCAGAGGCTTAGTGCCCCTGAATGTGGAGGTTCCCTTCCGCTCCCGTGGCTAGTAGCCATTGATAGACGTCTTCTCCATGAATCTCACCTCCTTTGAAAGCTGTTTATTCCTATTTCTTCTTTTTTTAAAAACATTCTCATTGTGTTTTTTGGAAGGTCATTACCACCCAATACACTATTAGCCAACACCCCTGTCCATCTTACAAATGCACTGAATTATTTTTTTAAATAAAATCAAACCCAGCAAAACTCCAGATATTATTATTCCTCTTTTGCCACCTGAGATCCTGGCTTCAGCGAAGCTCTCTGTGGGCTGGGGTCAGACCAGCACTCCACCGGCACATTCCACCACCGCATGCCTGTGGCCATCACTCCGTCCTCTGGCAGCAAATTCCTCAACGGAGTTCTCCTACCTCTTCCGCTTGTGGGTGGTGTTCCCTCTAAGCTGAGTTGGTGTGAGCTGGCACAGTTTTTAGCCTCCGGCTCACGCATTGTTGTCTTCGCTTGGGAAGGAGGGCTCCAGAGTAAACTAATTTAGGCAGTAGCCAAATCGCTCGCTCACAACTTTAATGCCAGGAGCTCGCAAAGTAGAATTTTTGCTCACAAGACTCCACGACTTAGAGGTAGCATTGCTTGTGGGCAGGGGTCATTTCCTGCAGGAGCGCACAGGAGCGGAGCTCTGGCAGTAAAGAGCCCAGGGGGTGGGCACATGCAACAAGCCCCGCCCCCTGCTCCCAGCAGCCCTCAGTCAGAGCAAGAAACAGCCAAGTAAGCTGCAGAGCCCCCCCTCCCGGCCCACCAGTCCAAAACAGTCCAGTGGCACCTTTAAGACCAAGTTTTATTCAGGTACAAGCTCTCCCTCCTCTGCGAGGACAGATCTGCATGTCCCGTCCCTCCCCCCCCCCCCCCCAACCCCGCAAATTAAAAGAGACCAAGGGGG